AGGTTCGAGACAAAAGCCCTCTCGCCCGGCTAATGGATTGACAGCGAGGAGAGGGGCTTCTCTTCGAACTTTTCCCTCTTTTAGTCCGATCCACCTGACACAATGCCCCCGCGAGGGCTTGGTCCTTAATTGACATTTAGAAAATCGAAATACCCAGAATATCGCGCTTACATAAAACATCTCGAGAGAACGAATATCTGTCGCCGGTGCGGACAAGGAGTACAAGGAGAAAAATGGTTTGCAGACGAGCGGATTAAATTGGCCGGGATAATCAACGTCTCCTGAAAACCCGCATTGTCTTCAGTACACAGGGGCGTTAATTGGGTCCCGCTGATGAGGCGCGTTTACTCTCGAATGCAAGTAACTCGGCTGGATTTATCAGCGGGCATTGTGAAGCTCTGATTAACTATGCCCTCTGTCGAGGACCAGAGACGACAGCTGCCCGGGTGAGCAAACATCTACTGGGACATTTTCCCCGGGAACCAATTAAGTGGCGAAAAGAAACCGGGAAGAGGTAACGATTTTCATTATTACGTTCAGAATGAAAACTTTTTAAATTAACCAAACGTACACAAGTAATAAAATATAAAAGAAAACCGTATTAGAAAAATTTATTTAAATTTTTAATAAGTATTCATATGAAGAGAGAGTAAAAAAACAGTTAAATCATCAAGAGTCTCCACAGAATTCGTTCGAGCAGAGTTCGAATGAACGAAACTTTCACGGCCGTCGTTTTTTCTCGTAACGATAACGTCCGGCCTGTTTGAAATTCCTTCGGCCGGACGCCCGCCCGTAACTTTTTCACTTTTGCGTTTTTAAAAATTAATCCGCGCCACTAAAAACGCAAAAGTTTTAATGAATCGGCGTTCCCCGAGCGGAGACGGCCCCGACGGCAGCGGTGCGCTATGCCGCCCCCAAAGAATGACAGTCGCGGTTACTAATTGCGAGAAAGAGCCGTGACGCCGTTGCCTCCACCCCGCCGCCGCCGCCTCCGGCTCGAAACTAAAGTCTTATTCAGCGGATTCGAGCAGCCGGAGGAATTTTAACAAAAGGTTGTCTGATGCGAACGCTAACGTTGACTGAACGACGTTCGCCTGATAGGGCTACGTGATGAAACTGTTGACTGGTAAATTATAACGAAGATTGTGGTCTTCTGGACATGGACATAAATCGAAATATAATAAAGATTCATTTTGAAACACTTCTATTATTATTAGAAACAATTATTTTTTCTAAAACGTACTTATAGTCAAAGAGGCAATGAACTTACCATAATTAACTAACTAACCATTATAAAAGATTCAAGCAGGAAGACAATAAAGTCGTTACATTTCCCACAAATTATAAAAAGAATGGAGTTATCCAAACATCTTGCTATGGCAGAACAAACAACCTTTTTAGACTGCAAAAAGTTTGTGATTGAATGACTATTATACAGCAAGCTTAAGAAAATATTTCTCAGACACCGAACTCGTAGTGATAATAGTAAATTTATAGAACAAAGACTTGAAAACTTCAAATCAGATGATCTGGATGATGAAGATCAGAATTCACGAGGATCACAAGTTCTGGAGTCTTAATTTCGCAAACGATTTTGCCTAAGCTTTTATTTGCTGATAATTAAAGTAGTTTTAAGAAGGCGAAGCATTTAGATAGTCTTACACAGAATATGTATTTAGCTGAATTGCAATTGTCATTACCTGACCTTGTGAAGCAATGGAAGTCACCTGAAAAATTTCTTTGTGGTTTCTAATTTCAATGGTCATCTAGATTCTGACTGATCTCAAGTGGTTACAAAGTTGAGTACTGTCACTTTAAATTTGCAAAAAAAGTATAGTTTAGGGAATAGAACTAGCTAAATCTAACACAAACAGTGAACTGGGTGCTGAAATAATTAAGCAAAAATGATTTGGAATTTTCAAGTTCTATTGAAAACATATTTTTAAACGCGAGAAAGGATCATTTTCGATAGCAATAAAAATCTACATAAAATCCTAACTGTCCTAATAAATGCTAATCGTGGAAAAATGTACAAGAGGTGGCAAAACATACACAGACCGATAGAAAGATCTTCAAAGCGATGGAACGATAGCTGGACCTCAATATCACAGGAGAAGTAGAACCAGGAATCACAAAGCGTCATAACAAATCATAAGCCTTTCGATAGGCGCTAAAACTAATTTTGACGAACTTGTCGCACGCAAACAAGCTTAGCCATATTATTAAGCTTAAATAAATGTTGATAATAAAAGAATAACTACGATTAACAGTTTCTTTGCTGTTAGAAGCTATAGAAGTACCATGATTTCGATATTTTGTTCTAGAATTTCTCGCTGTACGATTGAGATTTGAGATACACTGCTATTAACATTACGCATAAAGAAAAGTTACACGAAGACTATTAAATGAGTTCAAACAGTGGCAGATTCTCTCATGAAATAGAACATAAATTTCCGAATAGCAATTTTCATAACTCTTAGCTATATGTAGATATAATTTTCTAAATGTTTTTATGCTCCTTATTAGAAAGCAATCAAATGAGTCAGATTTGATGAGACGTCTTAGAGAAAATTCCACTTTTCAAATAAAAATGTAATCCACATGGTAAGAACGTTTTTGTTTCTCAATTTCGGTGGGTTGTGCTGGGTTTGGTCAAGAAAACTAAGTGTTTCACAATCATAAATGTTCCAACCCTAATGGGTTTACCTCAAATTACGGCATTGTATGCCAACAAGGAGAAGAAAGTTAAGAATAATAAGTTGAAACTAAATAAGGGAAAACCTAAGTCTTGGACTTATTCTATCTGGTATGGTTGCCTGCAATGACTTGGCAAGTATGATTAGTTTCTTTATCGCGGTTTGAGTTGGGCAGCTCATTTCAGCAGGTTTATCCAGAAACTGAATTTGTCTTTGCTTAAACTTCATAGTTAATCTTCTCCATTCTTATTATGTAAGTTTTGCTTCTCATTAGGCTTATGGAATCCTATGTTGCGGAAACTCTGCTCATGTGAATCGCGCTTTAGTCTGCAGAGAAAGTGTATCAGGACAATAATATGACTAAACATGACAACAAATTTGCAGAACTAAAAATTGTAATTATTGCTGCTATTTATATATTAACTTTTACAAGTTAAAAACCATATTGACGATTATACAGCGACTGGTGATTCATCACTTTGGAAGAAGAGGAGTACAGTCTGGTTACTGGTTATTTTCGAACGTAGAATGTTAAAGCAACAATTATGAAATAGGTAAGCTTTGGATTCTTTGCTTAGTTTATAAAAACCCTATCAAAAGTCACTGTCCGTTATTGGGAGCAGTTGAGAAGTATTGAGAGTCTATATTGTTACTTAATTATCTCCGTGAGCAATTATAGTATTACTAGGCATCGGGAGTTATTGGGGGAAATTCATAAAAATGAAAGATATTTTAGGAGCAATTTGAATTCAATGAAAGCTACTTCTAGCAATTGGGAACTGACTGATCAGAGTCAATGGGAGACATTGGCATATACGAGAATGATCAAGCCTTAAAAATGAAAGGTTGAAAAGAATCAATTGAATGCCATTTACATATAAAACTTTGATATCAACTCGAATTATTGTAGGAATAAAATGAAATGTGAAATTTAACGGGTCAAGTAATAAAATAAAAGATGAAAATCTGAATAGAAGATAAGAAACATGATGGAAGAGAAATAAAAAATGTTTCATAACCTTATTTTGTGTTGGTTTGTTGAGGTATGAAGCACATTTGAGGTATAATCAAGCTCTCGGGGATAGCACGTGTGTGAAAAATTGACGACTGAAATAAAAACAGCGCGCGGACAGCGCCTCGCGTAAAACCGAGACGTTTAGAGAATAATAAAGGCATCAGCCTTTATGTTCAATTACCCGGAATAAATCGCCCGTATCAAGGAGGATATCCCGGCTGATCGCGTCATGACGGATCGGGATGATGTATCGCACATCTTTCTCCTTCTTATACCTCGGAAATTATGAGATATATAGAATATAAAGAGCTTACTATATCCGCGGACGCGATGGACGTCGGTTCGCACGGTTGCGAAGGTTAACTCTAGAGTTCGGTTCGTAATTTTACCTGGATAATTATCGGTCGTAACTGCGTAATGAAAATATACTGCCCATTATTAACGGTCGCGATGAAATTTACGAACGTTTGCGCAACAAACTAAACGCCATCGGAACTTCGTCGAGCGTACGATAGAAATTGTTATTAATAATGACCGCGATTAATATTCATACGCTCATCTCGAATTGCGAAAGCGGGTTGAATTATTTACGTCGTCCAAAGTTTAATTACAGTTTGACGGGAAGTGGGTAATGAATTATTATATTCGCTTGTTACTATACTATAACCACTACGGTTCTACGACTATCCAAACACATCAGATTCTTCTCATTACATAATTTACCTATCAAATCGATTTATTAGTTACTACCTATATATCATTTAGTAATAAAATCCGTATTTGGTCAATTCGTCCAAATAAATTTTATAGAACGTCGCTGTTTGAACAAACACAACAATAGCGCGCGTATTAATTTACGGTAGCGCAAATACTAGGAATAATGAACAATACCGAGCAAATTTTTCATCACGATCCGGTTTTATTCGGCCCGCACTGTAATTGCGAAATTAAAACGGAGTGTCGTAGTGTTTTCGCACACCGTTTTTTGTAATTAACGTAAAACAACCGCGGGCGCTGTGGAACACGAAAATTGATCTGTGTTCTCAACGACCGGATTCTCATATTAAATCAAAAATGATTATTTACAATGAATTAACTGTTTTTGTATCAAATTTATTGAGTTGGCCAAACAGATTCGTCTATTCTCTACACTATTTATCTATCAAATTAACGTTTCCACCAACTCAACATTGATTTTAATGTTATTTTTGATATGGTTTGATTTGATTATTAATTTATTAATGAACGATTATTATGTAGTATATAAAAAAATTAAAATTGAGCCCTACCTTTTTACCGTCAAGCTCGTGAGTGCCCTGCGCTAAAACCTTATCTACGCTAGCCGGGTCTGCGAAGGTGATAAATCCAAAACCCCTAGAAGACACAACAAAAGAGAGCATTAGAGCTACGCGCGACTCTCGGAAGGCTATCCTAAGGAGATACTAAAGAGGGGCACTACGCGAGACTAAGTGTGTGTTTATGTACAACAGCACAACACCGAGCTCCACCTACCTTGGTATAAGAAGTCGCGTGCCGCCGTCCACTCCGAGGGCAGCTACCGCTTCAATATGGCTGAAAGAGAACGACTCTTCAAACCATCTTTTATCATTGTCGTGCATTTCTACCTCTAGAAGCCACTAGTCTACGTGCAGTGCCGCGAAATAAGCAAAGTCGAAGAGAGAAGTACGTGGAAAACGTACCATTATGAAAAGGTAAAGGAATAGAAAGTTGCGCAGGAGACGTATACGGGAAAGGATAAAGACTAATTTTTACAAAATCACGATAAAAATCGCCGAATCGTCGAGTACAACAAAAGGAGCACCCCTGACTGCTGAAGAGGTCGGCGTAACAAAAAGGAGACAAATCGCGCACGCATCGTCCCGTTCCCCCACGTCAACAACGATGAGGAGATCTCTTTCTTCTCTCACCCGCACGCCAACACGGTACCACTTCAGCAAGAAAAATCACTCGAAAGTGCCGTGACACGACTCTCCCCCCATAAATAATAATTGCTAATTTGTAGCGACACAACAGCTCTATTCACCACATGCTTTACAAATATCAATTCGAAAAAGATCACGTTGCTGAATCAAGATATCAAAGGAACATGTTATTTTATATTATAACATACAAAATAAATACTACTTTTTGAATTTCGCAATTCCAATTTAACAGTTTCAATGATACTTGACGTGAATTCAGAAACACGTCAACATATCAAATGGGAATTGGCCGAATTAACGACAAATAATATGAAAATTTTAATTGGAGGATTATTCGGTGCGCACCGGCGATTCTTGGTTCGACGTCGCGACGCGCCCGAAACGCGTCGACGCTATATCGACCGGAAAACGCGCGATCGGACGGTTTCGGCCACATAATTACGACAGGAGGTCGTTCGTTCCTGATTAGTTAACGGTTATTAGTTTTGTTTATAGTGCGGCTGTCGGCTGGTCGAATTGCCGCCAACGTCGCGCGCCAATAAAACGTTTAATTACTTGTCAATGGCAGACTTGTATTGCCTCGGATTATTAGTTCCATTATAATGTATATCCTTAATCGGGACAAATGTTGTATGGTATTACTGAAACGTAAATAACAGCTCATGTTTTCTCTGTTCACAAAACACAATATCCTATGATAGTTTATTATACAATTGTATTAGTCATTATTGGAAAGCTTTAAAGAAGGCAACATTAAAATAACATTAGTAGTAAATTTATCGGATATTAGTATTAACTGAAGTGGATAATATTACGTTAATTAATTTAATTCCGGAAATAAAAATAATTATTATAATTTATATTTTATTCCAAAAATCGAATATATACATCTATTCGGATTTGGTTCATTGGCACGTCAGGTGTAAATTGTTTTTCGAAATTGGCCTCGCCCGGCCCGACCTTTCAATAAAATTTGCGGATACGTCAATTCAAATTTCAATATTATAAATTACGATAACAGCTCCTGGTGTCCGTGTAGATGGGCTGCCCTTCCGTATTCATAAATATTTATCACAATCATTTCGACACATCGTAACGCAATCGGTTTCATACGGCGGGATTTAGCGTTATTTGCTATTATATGTTAATGGAATTTATTTATATTTCATTTACAGGATGCGCTACCGGCATCCGATATTTATTCTATCCATATTTATTTATAAATATATACTAGAAAATTATAAAGTATCTATTTTGAAGTAACCTTATTCAATATTCATTGATAAAAGTAAAAAGTTCTCGTAGTAATATACAATACTAAAGCTCGGTCGATTTCAGTTATTCGATCAAATCGAAAGAGAATAAAGAAATTATAGTATTTATCCATAATGTCATAAGTATTCGTTTTTATATAATAAATGAAATATGAAATAAGTTGCAGTCATATCCAGTACTTCTTTCAGACAACACTTTGACCAGTATCTGACTAGCTTCTGTTGTCATTTGTATACGGTGTTATACTTAGTGAAGTTACAAAGTGTGTAAATCGTAAAACTGATGATTTTACATATTGTACAGTCGGCCGTATTGGTAAGTTAAACACGAAGAGTCTCTTTTCTGAGATCTTTTCTGCTTCAAAACTCACTTAATTTTTCGCTGTTTTTTCAGTTATTGCAGAATGCTGAGCACAAGTTTTGCAAGAAATAGGCATCACATCACACTCAATCCTCTGTTTATGGGTGTCTTTAAAAATATAATTTTCATCACCACAACCTGTTCAAATTTATATATCCCAGAGATGAATTATTGAGAGGATGTTCAATTGGAATTTTTAGTTCCATATTTTCTCCCAAGCATACTAAATGGTGCAACCAACAATAACTTTTGCGAGAACATTTTGTCAAGTTTATTAGGAAACATTCCTTCAGAACAGCGTGAAACAATGTTTTTCCAACACGCTCCTACAAATTCAAAATCTGCTACATTTTTAATACTTTAAAAGCCCACGTTAGCAGGTTAAAGAACATTGTTAAGAAAGTCGAAGGGTCTGGACAAGTGGTTCAGGCTTAGCAGATGAAAACTGGTGAGAATCCAATTGTCACGCAGCTCGACTCGACTATCATGAACATCGAGGCCGACCCCCAGACTTGAAGAGACTTACAAGAGGACATTCCCAATTATAAATCACCGATTTTCATGAAACTCAATATTTAAGCAAAAACAAACTTATTTATTACAATTATAGAGAGTTTTAGTTCCTCTTCTTTATAGCTTTACATGTATTTTTACATGTTTGAACTTAAATCGACATGATAAGGAGGCAGGTTTTGGCAAATAATTAGTAAAGCTCTAGAATAATTAGTTACTCTACTAGAATATAATTTCTGCTAGACTTAGTGGTATTTTCCCATAATATATAGAATTTCCCTACGTAATAATAACTCGAATTAACGATGTTCTAAACATAATATTTACTCTTTTCTATATTGTAACTCATAATTTGAACATGTAGCCACCTCTAATTTCATTAAGACAGCTTAATATGCCTAAAGCAGTAAATTTAATTACATATTTTCAAGTATACTTGTTTAAAAACTTTCGTTTTCTGTAAATAATTCATTTGCGGACATCACTTGGTAATATTGTGATAAAAAATGATAACTTTATTGCAACCAACCTCGACTTCACTTAAAATAAAGAATGTATGCTTCGTCTGATTAAGTTGAGGTAGCATATAGCCGAGGAACATATACTGAAGTGCCTCGGCCCCAAGACAAAAATATATGGTGCCGTCAACCTAATCCGAGGTGGCTTCCGGTCGAGATGGAATTGACGCCTCAGCTGCAAGTAACCTTGGTTTCATTTAAAACAGATGCAATACATTTATTACCATCTAGTACAATATTGGAAAATACATGTTGCAGCTTCTCGGCCGCAAGCGACCTTGACTTAATATCATTATATATTTTAATATTATCGTCATATATTTTCGTCTTAATTTAGCATTTTGTAGAATCTATGACTTTGCCTCTTTAAGTCCAGGTCACTTGCGGTTGAAGCACAACCAATTGATACCACACAAGGTGAACACTTAATAAAAGCTGGTTTCCACTACAAACTATGTTCATAAAGTGTGTTTTACACAATGACCTAACTCAACGCAGTCACACAACAAAAATGTGTGACAAAAATGACATGGTGTTTGTAAATAAGTGATTAACAGCGTGAGATGGTTTCAAAACAACACATTAAAATGTAAAATACTTGGTAAATAAATGGTAAATTTGCGATTTTTTTTTATTTGATTTGTTTTGCACCGAATATTCCTGTTATAGCAATTAATGTTTCGTTGTTAATGTTTCGACTCACGCCGATAGTATTTAAAAGTAAATAAGATTATAGGTAATTAGACAAATATGCTTGCAAATATTTTATTTACTTTACTGCTCTAACTTTTAATCTTCGCTGTGATCAATAACAATGCTTAATGTAATTACGGCAGCCTTCAGGATAATATAGAATAGAATAAACGTTATCTTTATAGCATCGTTAATACGCAGTTATTATTTTGGTTTAATATCCACCGCTTCGATTGATGGTTGGGGGTAGTTCTGTTGAGTCTATACAATTTCAGGTTGAGTAACTAAAAGTCGCTATAATTCATAACTGAAATTTGTACATAAAAAAGATCAATTCAGTATCGAAGGTTCGCGATTTATTATTAAGGATTCTAATATTAAAGTGTATTCGAGGTAGCGCCTCGGCGGCAAGCGACCTTGATTTATATTTTTGTTGGTCATAAAAGATTTTGTCGAAGTCGCAAAGGCACTTCAATGAATAAAGCGCTAATAAGGAGTGCTTTGGTTGTAAGCAACATCAACTTTATTTTGATTTCACTAAACCATCTCTTCTTGTCAACTCTATGAAGACGAAAGTGTGCCTTTTACGCATACTTACAATGAACAGCAAAGATTAGAAACCTACTATAACCAGCTGAATACGTCTTTATAAAAAATTAGGTAACTTTAAGAACAGGTATCACCGTAAATTTGTTAAACTTACAGTTGATTGTTAATTCCAATAAGCGAGATAACATCTTTACTATACGCACCGATAGTAGACCATCTGTTTTAGCATTAAGCAGCGTAATGATAACCTCTGGGGTAGTAATAAATTGCTGCATGACACGTGAATCGTTCTAATTCACCTAATAATCACACTGATATCTCAATCAAACGAGCCCCCGGCACAGCGTTCTGTGTACCTGCACCGATTATTACTTCCTCTTTAGCTACCCAAATCGTTTCAATTAAGTACACCACAACAAGTTATTGAATTGATGGTACATAGCCCGGGTCGATTTGTCCCAAAATTGTTAAAATATTAATAATTTTTAGTTTATGGAGGCTTTGGTATATTTTATTATAAAAATTGTGACATCATTCCCTCCTTTATTTCTAAAACTCCAATTATAACGACGTTTCGGGAAATGTTCCCATCATCAGGTTAATAATACTCTTATCTAAGACTATTATCAATTTTTATCACTAATTGTTTCTTAAATTTATTCCGATACATCTTATCATGCTTACGAATCAAGTCGAAGACTTGATAATTGGAGTTTTAGAA